AAGACCAGAGTTGTACCTAAAGCCTCTCAGTGACTGGATGTGGCGTGGGAGTGACAGGCACTTCTGCTTGTATATTTGCTGAATGACTGGATGCAGTTTCTTTTAGTTGAGACTCTCCCTTCATGCCAAAATCCAATGGATCCTTTTAACTGACTTTGTATGTTTTAATTTTGCAGGGCTTTGAAGGGGGAATTCTGATACTCTCAAACTGCAGCTATGGCTGCTTCCATCATCAGCAATTTGAGCTTTCCTTTTTAAAATCTAATTTTAGCATTTGCTTTTTAACAAGAGCAGTTTTGGAAACAATCCTGGATTGGTTTTGGTGACTAACTTGTGATTTTTTTTTTCTTTCCCTTTGCGGTACCTGGTGCCAGGCTCTGGGTTCTCTCCCGTTCTCTCCTGAGAGACTCTGAGGGAAAATTAGCGCATCAAGACTGTAACTAGTGAAATTTGTACAACCAAAGAAATCTATTTTGTGGTTCAAGGATAATAAAGTTTACTTTACATTTTAGAGCCTGTAGTTAGTGCAGTTTCCCCTGTGTGTCTGCAATTTCTGTCCCAACACTGTGGTCCTGATTATCAGTCAACCTATAATCTCTCAAACAAACCAGCGAATTTTACTGCTTCTGTGTGCACAAATAAATGATCGCATAAATTAGCGCTAGCTACAGGAATATAAAGATGAGCTTGTGTTACTCATGCAACCCTAACTGAAAGTCCTGTAGTGCCTCTGCTATTCATTTCCTGCAGCTTTTCTCTGAAGCTAATACAAAACTATGGCATCTGTGTTGGGAGGAAGAGACCCCCCCAAACAGTAACTATTAGGCTCATCTTCACCTAGTTTGAAAAGGACTCCGTATTTTGGAAGCAGCAGTCATTGGTCGGGGCAGGGTGGGGGGGGGACAGAGTAGAGGTTTTTTACTACTGCAGTTGCTGTGACGATAAGACAACAGACAACCTAGTAGTGGGGAAAGGAAATAGGGACAAACAGAGGAGACGATACATGTAGGCAACAGTAGGTTCATCATCACGTGTGTCAGTGACATGTAGTCAAAAACATCCTGCTCAATGGCCTGCAAGAGACAGGACAAATTTGGGTATGACAAAAATCATCCCTTCAGTATTACACCCCTGTAAGACAAGTACCAGCACTAATTGCAGAGCGAATAATTCCATAAATATGAGGGATATATTAGGTACAAAATGTACCTGACTGCTGTGGTGTGCATGCTTTATATGCCCAGGCCTCTATCAGTAAAAGTTGCCAGATGTGATGCTGCCTACTGTGGCAGTGAGGACTAGTCCATTACTGATCCCTGCAAAGTCTACTGTTCCTGCCCATTACCTCACAGGTGTGATCAGGTGTGAGTCTACACGCACTCAGCTGTTTATGACACTACTCACAGCAAAAGAGGCAAAAAGTATAAGGCTTTCTTTCGTTGCCATCCAGTCAGTTGTTTGCTATCAGAATAGCGCTGCTTTAAGTAGCTTTAAGACAGTTGAAAAGAAGCAGCAACTTTAAAGGAATGTACTATTAGGGATTAAAACCCAAAACACATGAATTAAGTACAGCAGTCCCTCAGAAGAAATGGTCTCTAGCTTTTAGCATCAAAATGCACAAATACTGAAGAGGATTTGCATGAAGCAGGTTTAGAAAAAGAATTCAAACAATAAAAAGTGACAAAAAAAAAAATCACAGAATGGTTGAGGCTGGAGATCATCTAGTCCACCCCCCCCCACCCCCGGCTCAAGCTGGGGTCACCTAGAGCAAGTTGGCCAGGATCGTGTCCAGACGGCTTTTGAATAGCTCCCAGGATGGAAAGGCCACAACCTCACTGGGCAACCTGTTCCAGTGCTCAGTCACCCTCACAGTCAAGAAGTTTTTCCTCATGTTCACATGGAACTTCCTGTGTTTCAGTTTGTGCCCACTGCCTCTTGTCCTGGGCACCACGGAGAAGAGTCTGGCCCCTTGACACCTTCCCTTCAGATACTTCTACACATGGATCAGATTCCTCACCCCTTCCACCCCCCCCCCCAAGCCTTCTCTTCTCCAGGCTGAACAGGCCCAGCTCGCTCAGCCTTCCCTCATATGGGAGATGCTCCGGTCCCGTCCTCATCTTAGTAGCCTTTCACTGCACTTGCTCCAGTAGGAGCCTCTCTTGTTGTGGGGAGCCCAGCACTGGACGCAGTACTCCAGGTGAGGCCTCCCCAGGGCGGAGGAGAGGGGGAGGATCACCTCCCTCCACCTGCTGGCAACACTCTGCCTAATGCAGCCCAGGATCTGACTGGCCTTCTTGGCCACAAGGGCACACTGCTGGCTCATGGTCAACTTGTTGTCCCCCAGGACTCCCAGGTCCTTCTCCACAGAGCTGCTCTCCAGCAGGTCAGCCCCCCCAGCCTGTCCTGGTGCATGGGCTTATCCCGCCCCAGGTACAGGACTCTCCACTTGCCTTCATGAGGTTCCTCTCTGCCCAGCTCTCCAGCCTGTCCAGGTCCTTCTGAATGGCAGCTCAGCCCTCTGGGGTATCAGCCAGTCCTCCCAGTTTTGTATCGTCAGCAAACTTGCTGAGGGTGCACTCTGTCCCTTCCTCCAGGTCATTGATGAATACGTTGAACAAGACTGGAGCCAGGACTGACCCCCCCTGGGGGACACTGCTAGCTACAGGCCTCCAACTAGACTCCGTGCCACTGAGCACAACTCTCTGAGCTCTGCCATTCAGCCAGTTCAGTCCACATCACCATCTACTCATCCAGCCTGCACTTCCTGAGTTTGCCTATGAGGACGTTACGGGAGACAGTGTCAAAAGCCTTGCTGAAGTCAAGGTAGACAACATCCACTGCGCTCCCCTCATCTCCCCAGCCACTCGTCCCATCATAGAAAGCTAGCAGATTGGTTAATAAACCCTGCAAATTACTATGGTACTGTGACAGCATGCTTTGTGCATGTCAAGTACAATGCAAGTGGAATTGTGGGTAAAATATGAACTGGCTAGTAAACCAACAGTGTTTGACCTGTGTATGTATCTTCCAGGAGACCGTTAACACCAAATGATAAAAAACAAAAACAGAAAATCCAAGCATTTTAGCCATGAAGATAACCGGCCATGTAAGGGAACCCTTTGACTGAACTTCATGCTTTAAGTTCCAGTGTTCTTTGGCAGAAACAGTGAAAATTAGAAATACTTACATTAAGAAGACGGTGAATATATAGCTATCAAGGATTCGCAAACCAATAGTGTATGATTATAAAAATAAAACTATAAATACAAATAAAAATACAAAAACAGCAGTCTGAAAAGCAGCAAGAATGGAAATATGGACACAAGTAGGTAAGGGAACAGTAGGAAGTTTGGTGAAGGCAGCTGAAAAACATCCTCATTTTCCATTCCATTATTTCCTAAATTTAATTTAGGCTAATTTATGGACACGTTTAAGGACATATCTGTCCATTTTAAGGACAAACTACTGTAGTAACATTTTAATGAGCAGAAGGGTTACATGATCACAAATGGAAATATTCCAAAGATTTTTCTCTCCTGTTTTATATGTATAACAGTAATCTTTCCAAAGGACCTGAAAAATTTACAGTTAAAAGATATGGTTCAAAATGACCTCAACTGACAGAAAGAGTAACTGTCACGTACAGAAAGTCCCATCACAGAGGAATTGCTCAATGGCTGGAATTCAGCAGAGGCTGAGTTAAAGAAAACTACACAACTTACTCCAGATTTAAAAAACAGGAGTATCACCTACCTTGGCCAAGCTCTGCTCCAGCTGTCAAGATCTAGTTTAGTGTGGGAATTTAGCTTGGACAGACAAATTCAAGTCTCAGACCTTAGCATGAAACAGAGAAGTCCAACTTCTCTGTAGTCCAGAGAAGTCCAACTAAATATCTACTACCGACGTTCCCAAACACAAATCACTATAAAATACTGGCAAATAGGATAAGTTCCAGACCTTGCAAAGAAAAAATATTGTGCCAATACGGAGAGAGGATCATTTAATGACATCATTGCTTATTAGAGCCAACCAACTTGAATTTAAAGGATATATGTATATTCCGAATAACATTCTGATAAGAAACAACTATCTACAGACATCACAATCTATATCAAACAGGTTAATATTCAGTTTAGTAACTAACTGATTTCAAAAAGTAATTGTGGAATTGTCATCCTATGAGTATATTTCTCATAGAGGTACTCAGTAATCTGCTTTCAGTATCTTACTCAAAAAATACAGGATAAAATATAAATCCCTGTTGGTAAAATGTGCAGATGATATCACACATAAGAGAACAACATCTAACATGACAAAAGACAGATATAGAGATGGAAATTGTTTGAATAAAGACAAACAATTCTAATATGAATTTTAATAATGCCTAAAGCAATAACACACAACTAAGTATAGAAAAGTTATATAACATTTATAAGGCGAAGAACAATATCCTGGAATACAGTTACTTGCAGACTTCATAGTTATCAAAGCTAATCAGTTAACAGGCATACTGCTGTAGCTAAAATTATATATATATATAATGTTGTGATGCATTGTCTGTGTATACCTATAGGGAGAACACTTCAGAAAGATATCCAAAAAGTTAGAAGGGTTTACAAAAAGAGCTAATTCAGAAAAGAATAATACGAAGTGTGATAATTAGCCTTCTCAGAAAGTGACTAAAGAAGTTTGACAAGGTCTGGTTTAAGAGCAAGTTAACAGAT